TCCCTACACTACTAAGCCTAAAATCTTGATCTTTTGCAGGTACTTGAGCGAAATAGGAGCATTGCAGATGGTGGTGGGCGAGGAAGATGAAGATGAACCCATTTCATTACAGGACATGTACAAGAAGGTGGCAGAGCAAAACACAGGTTGCAAGTGGGAACACTACGAGGTTTATAAATACTTGAAGGGTCTTGGCTATATCGTCGCCAGACATGGAGTTCCATGGACTTCAAAAGATAAACCAGTTCATGTCGGAGAAAGTTCCAAAGACAGAGACACCATAACTGAACTCTTTCGTGACATGCAGATTCGGGATACAAAGGCCGTGTTCGACGTGTATATGCCGAACAGCCGGTTCAAGAAATCTTCCCCGGGTGACCCAAGCTTTGTCGCTTGCTTCTCGGGGTAAATCCATTTTCGTGGCTCCAAAGCTTCACAAGCCATATCGTTTCCGTTTCCCTTTAACCAAATGCCGAGTTCTTGTTCTTGTTCTCCCTTCTGCAGGGGCTCTACACCGAGCAAAGACGAAATCCAAGACCTGGAAAGATGCGTAACTACACCATTGATGTTCTGTCATGTGGAGCAGGGACGTTGCAGCTTCTTCGCCTTCAGCTCTGTAGACCTACCTGTATTACCCTGATGCGGTAAAAGGACCACGACCTGATCATGCTGAACAACTTTAAAGATTCATGTCGAATAAATAGTAATACTTCTGGATATGCAGTTTACAAGTATTTTGGTGTTTAGGGTTACAAAAAAATATTGAAAAGGTAAAAGCCAGCCTCCTTGTCTCAATAGACAATAGATATCTGCTATTTCGCGTACGGGAGAGAAAAGAACGAGCTGAGAAGATGTGCTTAAAAATGTATCGGATCCGTAATATTTTTCCCTTCGGTTTCAAGGACTGCAAAGGCCTTTAAGGTCCTCTTCCTTGGCGTACCAGCTCGGTATTATCTTGCGCAGATGTGGATACAAGTCCTTGTACGAATTCCTTATTGTCCCTTCAGCCACTCCAGTAGCTAGTGAGATATCTGCACCAAGAATTTGATATAATATATCGCATTATCGGTATACAGAACTGAACATATGAATTATTATTATTATGCAACAGACCTTTGAGCGGCTTCTTGTCATCGGAAAGTTGAGTTATTATGTAAATAACTGCTGCCGCAATTGATATAGGGCTCCTCCTACACGAAGGCAGGTGAGTATACAATCAGAGAAAACTGAATATGGATTATCACAGGAGAACGGATTGTACCTTATGTCAAACTCCTCAGATTTTTTAACAGCTTCTTGGGCAGCCTTAACCGCTTGGTTATTAGTACCGAGGTTGGAGCAAAACCGTCGCTGCAGATGAAACCAACAACAGCCATTCAAGATTCAAGAATCCCGTGTTACCCGTGTAACAGAACAGAGCAGTCCACTCCTAATAACTTGCAAGTTTTATAGAGGGTTGAGATGAACATCACCATAAAGTCACCGGCATGTATAGTGCCCATTTCCACGGACTGACCCGTTTCCAGCCCCAATGTTTTAACTATGTATTCTTTCGCCCGGCCAATTTCCTTCTTCGAGGCTCCATTGGCAACAGAGCAAATTTCTACGTAAAAGGGTCATGCATCTGATTCACTAAAAAGCAACGCTAAATCAACAGGGAACCATATTCTCGAATAGAAATATTTGGGCTGTACCCTTAACAGTCCTCGGCTTGTCCTCTTGACGACAGGCGATATAGAGGCAAGCAGCCAGAAGCGCATCCTGATTTCTTCCTCTGCTTGACTTTTGATCTTCCACCCTCTTAAATATCTCATTAGCCCGGTCCTTTAGATCAAGGAATGTCACCAGAGTGGCGAACAACATAATCAGATAAGGGATGCTGAATCAGTTGTAAATATGAACCACAACATAAACATATGTTCCAGCAACATTTACACAGATTCTTTGGCAACCCAATTCAATGTCGACCTCAGAAGATGATTGGTTTAGAGAAGAAAGCTTACCTTGATGGTTGCAACAAGGCCCAACCTGAAACCAAACAATTAACAACAAGTTAGCACCAATGTAGTTCCATCACGAACAAATTTACCACGGAGGATGAACTTTTCAATGGACGTGAAAGGAAATCCCTTCCACTAAATAATTGATTGTGTGTCTTTCAGACATCCTCAGCTGGATACCGTTTGCTAACAGACATCTACAGACACTATAATTATGAATTGACACGCATATATACCAACTACGGATGCCATGGAACTGTATGCAAGTTGCGCACATGATCAACATTGCATGATCCATCAAGCAGGGTGCGAGCAATTCCATCTCAAATGAACATTGTATGAAATTCTACGGCGCGTATTAACACGAACCAGGGGGGGGAAAAAACCATAGTTCCAACAAAGATCATGTGATCTAGCATCACAAGCTCTCAATATTTCAAATCCGGTTTGAAAATTTCACAGTCGCATCAAGAGAGAAATCCCGATCTAGTGTCAAAACCGAAATCCAAATCCAGGGCATGAAATCGAATCACGATACAATAGCTGATCCAAACGCTACCTATCCGACATGGTTGCGATGGTCTTAAACGCGATGATCAGACCGCGGTCGGGATTCGAACCCCGGTTCTGCCACCGACCGAGGGAAGAAGACAAGAAATCCCCGGAGGAACCGTTGGGCTTGGCGATGACGGTGGAGAGACCGCCATCGGCGAGAAGCGGGTTGGTGGGTCCACCGACACGGACTGGATCGTTGTCCCCCGACTCGTTGGCAAACGTACGCCACTCAGAGGTCTCATCAATGGAGTGCGATTCCAGAACCAGACCACACTCAGAGCAAACGGTGTCACCCGCCGAGTGATCGAACACCACCTCCGTAGACTTCTTGCAGTCCGAGCAGTAAGCGTCCGACATGATCGAAACCCTAATTTCAACCCTACACCTCCACCAACCCGATCCCTCCGATCTCTTCAGCGATCGTCTTCTCCGAAGAAGGATGGGAGATAAAATCGAAACCGAAACTGGACACGACAGAAATGTGGAGAGACAATCAGGAGGATGCTTCCCTTTATATGGACAACGAGGTGGGGCAACTGAACGAGCTGTAATACGGTGCACCCAAAAGGGACGATCTGGATCGTAGCTTATAGTGTGGGGTCCACTGATCTTTGATCGGACGGTCTGTAATTTTCAAAAACTTAAACTCGGTTTTTTTAATATTGATTTATTTTTGGTTGTCCGTCGAAGGAGGTCAAAAGAGAAAGTGACTTGTTAGGAAAGTCATGCGCACTTGCATGTGTTGGATAAGTTGGAAGATTTCCGAGTGTTTGGATACAGAGATAAACTTGTACGAGGATATCACTTTCTTCAAGTCCCTTTTTTTTTATTAGTTGGGCCCATGCTTTTTAGCCCATAGTATTTGGTCCATCACACAATTAAAAAGAGGAGAGAGCACAATTTCAAAATAAGACCTATCGTATGAATTAGAATTAAAAAATATTTTCCTTAGCTTTAAATAAAATATATTTAGAACACCCGAAATTAAAATATTGGGCTATAGCCTTAGGAAAAAAAAAAGAGAGAAATAAAATGTGGATTTACGGTCGGAATAATATAATTATTGAAGGTAAATAAGAATTATAAAGCACATAAATGAAATCCATTTGAATCGCGAAAAGCACACGGAAAAAGTAGAGGAAAACAAAAAGGGAAAGCAAAGTATATGCGTCCTTAATTAGCGGAGTCACATCCATAGATTTCTTCGTGGGCAAAAGTCATTAATTAAATAATTACGTATCGCCGTAAATATAATAAAATAAATCGAAACTAATGACATTAACTTCGAAATAAAATAGGAAATATATGCGTCACTGCACGCCTTAACTTTTGAAACGGATGGAATCGTGTATATATATATATATATAATTTTTTTTAAAAAAGAAATAGTTTTACACAAAATTATTCAATATAAATACTAAAATAGAATCCAACTATCATAATTATGCAGCATGGATCGTATTGACGTACCACCAGATGCTTAGTTAAGTTAACACTCTATGTAATCTTGCTTCGTGTATAGTTTAACATTTATATATATATATAAGGTTTACCGTTTTGTGTGTGTGGATTGTGTGTGATCTGATTGGCTGATGAACTACTCGGCGTTTCAGCCCCACAGACACAAAACCGGTGCCGTTTTTTTTGGCAGTTTGCCTGACACTCATCCTTCACGTGACTGTTTCACCCTTCGCAGCTTTAACTACACGGCGTTTCAGCCCCACAAACACAATCCGGTGGTATATACATTGATGTAAACACATGGTAGAGATATTTATTATATATATGTATATAGCCACAGAAATACTACGAATATGAAATATTGAACCGTTCGAGCACTAAAATATTTGACTCATTTGAAATATTCTACATGTGATTTTATATTTTATCAAATCCTAACACATTTATACCAATAGCCGCATAAAATGGGATTATTTAATAAATTAATATGTAATTTTTGCATGATTTTTTTTGTTTGAATGTGATTGTTATATTACTACCAAAAAATAATCCAAAGGTTTACATGAGTTTAACATGTACAAAAGATTTCAAAAGGCAGTGATTCCTAACCCAAAAGAAACTTGAATCTTAGCTATAGCATGTAAAGCGATAGCATTGTTGGAGGGGGACATTTGATCCGATAGAAACCGGCGACGTCTTTGTGTATCCGTCCATTACGTTCCTTCCAAATTTCGTATACTACTAGCTGCAAGAGAAGGCTCTTGATTAGCTCTGTCGTCGGTTGGATTGCCACTCGATGTTGGTTAATCCACGCTCCAGCATCCGCAACCTCTTTAGGGGGAGAGCCGCCAAGATTTTCTGCAAGGGAGAACCACACATCCGCACTATATTCACAACAGAAGAATAAGTGAGATATGGTTTCAACTTCCTTACGGCATAGTATGCATCGGCTCGGCCCTTGGATACCCCAACAAGCAACTCTATCCGAAGTCGGTAGTCTTTGGTAGAGAACCTGTCATAAGAGGAACACATGTCTGGGTATGGCTTTCCCAAACCATACCAGGCCGAACCATGAAACCGGAGCAGCCGGAGTTCTGATCCTGTCCCACGTGAGTCTTGAGACAAAGGTCGGATGATAGTTGTCGTCGTTCTTTCTCCAAAGCGGCTGGTCAGTGCCGTTGTCCGGGCGTGGGGGATCCATGCTCGAGAGTATGGTTTGAAGTTGTTGGACCCGCTCGTTCCTTGCTCCTCGAATTAGCCAGCGACCCTTGTGGACTGCGTCTTTAACTCTCGCCGTCTTCGGCAGCCTCAGGAGGCGGGGTCCGGCAATCCCGATGAACTCAATTTGAGGCCCAATCTCCAACCAACTGTCATACCAGAAAGATGTGTCTCCTCCGTCTCCAAGCTGGATCCTCGTGAACTCCCTGGCCCGCTCTTTCAATCATAACAGCTTCTTCAAATTTCATGTTGCCACGACGTTTTGTTGGCATTCCCAGTAAGTCCTCCCTTTGAAGACGTTTGCTCGGATCCATGCGACCCATATAGAACCTGCTTTACTCAAGAGCAACCAGATTAGTTTTAAACGAAATACCGTGTTTTGTACCTCCATCCGCCGTAAGCCTAAGCCCCCTTCACACTTAGGTTTGCAAATGGTGTCCCATGTAATGCGGTGGCTAGGTTTCTTGTCGGGTCCGTGTTGCCAAAGAAAGTTGGAGCAAAGGCTGTCGATCTATTTGAGCAGGAATTTCGGAAGAACAAAAGTCATCGCCCAGGAGTTAACGATACCGAAAATCACCGAGGTCACTAGCTGGATCTTTCCTACGGCTGAAAGGAATTTCGTGGTCCAGCCATCGAGCTTGGCCCTAATCCTTTGCAAGAGCGGAGCTTTCGTTAGGCGCGATGGACTTAGTGGAACGCCCAGATAGCGCACGGGGAGGAGTTCCAACCCAATACCGAGGTCCGCCGAGATAGATCTCTTCTCGCCATCAGATAATCTCGCCAAGAACAACTCTGATTTATCCGGGTTGATCCGTAGTCCCGAGATTACCCCAAACTCAGTTAGAATTCTCCGAACTTCAGATAACGATGATAGGTCCCCTTGGGTGAATATCATGACATCATCGGCGAAGGATAGATGAGTGATCATTGGGTTGATACAGCGGTAGTGAAGGGATAACCGTCCCTCCGTAGCAGATCTGTCCAATATCCGAGTCAGGATTTCCATAGTCATGATGAAGAGATAAGGAGACAGGGGGTCCCCTTGTCTCAGGCCCTTACGACCTTTAAAGTACCCGCTAACTCTCCATTTATGGCCACCGAGAACTTAGGAGTTGTAATACATGAGCAATCCATTTAACGAACACCGGCGGGAGATTAATGACTCTCAGAAGTTGGATTATAGTGTTCCAGTCAAGGGTGTCGAATGCCTTCCTTATATCTAGCTTTAGCATTGCACTCCGCCTCGATGAAGTCTTGTTGTACTCATGGATGATCTCCGATGCGAGCAAGACATTCTCAATCATCAATCTACCTTTGAGAAATGCATTCTGATTATGAGAAACCATCTGTAGAGCTACATATCGGAGGCAGCGGACTAGAATGGTGGAGATAATCTTGTAGATAGTGTTGCAGCAACTGATAGGACGGTACTTTGATAGCCTCATCGCCTCTGTCTTTTTCGGAATTAGGGCTATAGTGGTAGCATTAATCTGGCCTAATAGGTTCCCGGAGCGGAAGAAGTCCCCAACAGCGCTTACCACTCCGTCACCTACAATCTCCCAGCTCTCAGTGTAGAACTCCTTTGGGTAGCCATCGGGTCCGGGTGCTTTGTTGTCCGGAAAGGAGAATACAACACTCCTGATCTCATCGTCAGATGGAATAACGACCAGATCTATTGCCGAATTCATGTCCCACCTGTACGAGACTAGCCCCTGCAACCATGCCAATGTCGGAGTGCGGACACTCATATCCCGTTTCCCCAATAAGTCCAAGTAGAAGTTCACCGCATGCTCTTTAATTTGATTTTTTTGGGTCAGTTGATTCCCTTGGTCATCTACTAGGAAGTGAATATGGTTCTTGGCTGCCCTTTATACTGCACAGTGGTGGAAGAAAGAAGAGTTTTTATCCCCGAGTCTCAGCCACCTTATACGCGATTTCTGCCGGTAAATCCTCTCCTCCGCTGCTGTTAATACCATGAATCTTTGTCTGAGCTCTTTCTCCTCTGTAATCCGTTCCGGTGTAGGCATCGAAAACGCTTCCATTTGTATATGATTCAATCTCTCCTCGGCCTCCTTTACTCGCTTGGATAGCTGCGAGAATTTTGATTGATTCAACTCACGTAGTGGTTGCTTGAGCACCTTGAGGGAGCAACAAAGTTGGAACTGTGGTGTTCCTCCTAATCCGGCCACCATCCAATGACTTCGAACTATCTGGGAAAACTCAGGAAGAAGAGTTAAATGATAAAAGAACTTAAAGGGCCGAATTACCTGGCGAAGGTTATCCGGGAAGTGGATAATGCAAGGAGTGTTGTCTGAGAGCCCCAGAGCTGCGAATTCGGCGAAGGAGGATGGGTACTTCAGCTTCCATGTTGCATTGGACAAGGCTCTGTCTAGCTTGATGGACAGAGGCTCCTCCGAGTGATTGTTACACCAAGTATAAGAGGCCCCCCCCGGCTGGCAGTTCCATTAGGTCAGCTTCATTGAGGCAGTTCCTAAGCTCCTCCATGCCCGGCAGAATATGAGGTTGGATATGGTGATCCGAACGCTCGAGGGGAGGTAGACTTTGATTAAAGTCTCCCATAACCAACCAAGGAGTTTGGGTGATAGGTTGGTATTGGCTAAGCCACCGGAGTTCTTCCTACAAGGTTCTCCGCTCGATGAGCGAGGTTGATGCATACACAAAAGTCACCGTAAAGCTGAGGTTTGGACTGCGCACGACAACCCCACACGTCACACTCTGCTTAGTAGCTTTATAGATGGTCACCTTGACTGATTCCTCCTACACAATCCAAATCTTAGCTGTGTCATGGTCTACGAATCCACAATGATTCCTCCATCCCAATGGTATAGCATTTACTATCCTTTCCGAATTTCTCTCTTGGATATGAGTTTCCAAAAAAGCACCAAAAATCACCTTATTTTCCGAGATCCACCTGCGTGTCAAGAACCGCTTATTTTGGGCATATAAGTCCCTTTCATTCCAGGCAAAAATCATAGAAGTCCTGTTCGGGGCTAATTGCCCCTCGTGGCCTTACGACCACGACCTCTAGTTTTCACTTCCGTAAACCTTTGTTGATTCGTCTTCCCTTTAGTCTGTGGTTTGGAATCCTTGTTGATTTTCTGATGCGGAGGGGTTATGGGAGGAATCTGGGTGGGTCTCGAGTCTGAAGGTACGTGGCTGGGTGGAGGTGCGGTATGGGTGAGAATGGACTTCTCCGGATCAGCTCTATTTGGGGTGTCTAGATCCTTCCCTGACGCCTGTCTTTGTAGGGGGTAGTATCAACCGGAGCTTCAGAAGTTTCAGGGGATAGTGGGGCAGGTTCGGTTACCAGGTGAAGACCAACCGGGACTGGTTTCGGCTCATGGGGAATCAGTGGGGCAGTGAGACTCGTCGTGGCCCAACTCCGAGCACTGTTCGCATCGAGGCGGTAACCAGTCGTAGGAGATGTCAATGAGATGTTCCTGCCCATCCGGTAAGGTAACCATGATGTTTCTCGGAGGTTGACATCTCAGGTTGACATCAATGAAGATTCTAGCCACCGTCACATTTTCTTTGGCGGAGGTCTGCCTGTCGAGGTAGAGGGGATTCCCAACTGTAGTGACTATCCTACTAAGACTGTCGGTGCTGAATAGCTGATGCGGTAAGTTACGGAATGACACCCATGTCGGAATAGAAGTAAGCTCGAGTTTGGCAGCTAACTTATATGGGTTTCATTCGGAGATGAACATTGGTCGAGAGCCCACATGCCAGAATCTCTTACTGAGGGCCAGATCCCTAATACGACGGTTGGGCATTTTGAACAAGAACGTACCATTTCCCACGTCCTGAATCTTAATCTTCGGGCTGTTTCTTGACCATATACCGTTCGATACACTAACTATTCTACCCATTGACGGCGGTAGACCGTAAAACTGTCCCACTACGAAATCAGACCACTCATCCACAGAGGCTTCCAATGACTCGACCGGAATATGGACTAGAGGAATTCCACTCTTGTGGGTGGATGGAGTACCTATACGTTGCAGTGACTTCGGAGGGCCGGAGACCCTCTTGCTCCAAGTGTCGGAGCCTACCGATGGCAGAGTAGCTTGTGGTAGAGTTCCGTGGACAGCCGGCTTCCCGGGCTGGAGAGGTACTTCACCGGTGACAGCCGCGAATGGGAGAGTCGTGTTGACAGATTTGGGCCCAGAGGGGGTATGCAATTCAGAGGCGACGCCAGCCTCAACTTCGCCGAGAGGAGCAGTGGTACCAACCCGAGCCGCAGACGTGGGTAGGGGAGCGGGAGAAACCGTCCCAGCCCTAGGTACGGTGGGATGAGACGAGGAACGGCCGCCGCCAGGAGAGTATAGAGGGGGAAAAGCTACTTCGTAGGAGGCTTGGTCTCGACGGGATGAGAGAGAGACGGCTGGTACCGGTGGAGGAGGAGAGTTCCGGCTAGACGTTGACGGATTTGGATGAGAGACCGAATCTGACGGAGGAGGAGGAGGGTTTCGACCAGACTTCGGAGGATCTAACTGAGAGGCGGAGGCTGACGGAGGATGAGGAGGAGAGTTCCGGCCAGTCTTCGACGGAGGAGGAGGAGGAGACATGGAGAAGACCACCGAAGAGGGTGGGGTCTCATGTGACAGAGGCCGCGATCCCAAGATTCCGGGGGAGGGCGGGGCGGAAGAAGATCGGAGGCGCGATGGCATGGGGAAATGTTTTAGGTGACCGGCCGGCGAGGCGGAGGAGGTTTGCGCGGCGCTTGAGTTAGAGAGGGAGAAAGGTCTGTGCGACGCTCTCGAAAGGGGTTTTTTACTCAAATGACTCACTTGGGTCGCAGCTATTTCACGCGTACACCACAAAAAACATAACACATTAATTTTTTTTGAAAAGACGAAATTACCCTTAATGAATACACGATATTTATCCGTTCGAAAACAACTTCGTTATTACGACTTCGTAATTAATTCTAAATATAGTTACAATTGATTCTAAAAAAGATGATAGTTGTATATCAGTTATATGTTAGTCGTAATAAGGTCGCAAAAATAAAAAGAAAAGGGTATTTTCAACCGAAAAGTGAGTTTAAATTGAAAAAAAAAATTGTTTTTTTCCGGTGGTATACGCTGAAATAGCTGCGATCCAAGTGGGTCATTTGAGTAAAAAACCCTCTCATTCGAGTTTTTGCATTGTAATGGCTCTGATGTTTTCACGATTATCCTACCAACATATCAGTTCGATATCGCTGTATAACTTTGTCTTATGACTTAATATTATCAAAATTAATTTGATATTACAAATATCACCATCGAATACAAAGCTACATTATATTATATATATATATATATATGGGAATAACTATGACGAATGCTAAGGAAAGCATTATTGGAAAAAAAAAGATTTATCAGTAAAAAAAATTCCATATTGGGAGTCCCTCCATACCATGGGCCCACTTTCTGAGAATTCCCATCTATTAGACTTACCTTTTTAAGGTATGATTCTTCTGGTTTTGTTGAATTCCTTTCCTTCTTATTTTCTTCCATCTAAAGTTTGACAATGATGAAATCACATTGAAAATATAAAGGAAAATGTGTTGGGAAGAGACTTTGGCGAGAGGGAGCGTGAGTGGGAAGAGGAACGAGGAGGGAAAAAAAAACATCCTCAGAAACATTCGGCAAAATCTCAACAGTTGTTCGTCGTCTCTCTCTCTCTCTATTGATGTAAGAGAAGCAGCAAAACCCAGGACAGAATCGATTTTTAAAAGCTGAGAGACCCATCTCTCTCTCTCTCTCTCTCTCTCGTCGAGGAGAGTCCCCTTCTGGGCTCGTCTGAAAAGCCAGTGGGACAGTAAAAGTTGAACAGAAGCATCGGAAAGATCGAAACTTTGGTTCTGGGTTTTGCTCCTTTGTGTTTCCTGGAGATGGCGCAGTACCAGAGATTGATCATACACCACCATGCGAAGAAAGGGGAGAGGTTCAGACTCACCGGAGAAGTCGGCGGAGGCGGCGGCAACGGCAACGGCGGTGGCTACTTGAAGAGAGCGAGACGGAAGATTCTTTCTCTTCTCTTCCTCGCTCTCCTCTCTTGTTGCTTCGTCATGGCTCCTCACATCTTCAGCCTCTCTTCAACTTTCTCTCTCCTTGGTCTGATCTCCCCCCCCCCCCCCCCT